ATATATATATACTATTTTAACCATACATTTATATTTAATAGCAAAATTATTGATCTACAAAAATGTGTTTAGAGTTCTCATTTTCACTGTGAGGATACAAATGCTGCTTAAACTGATTTTGAAACTCTGAATTGTTTTTGACATTGGGTTTAACTTGGTTGGCTTTGGAAAAACTGATAAAGAAAAAACTTCTACAATCTCAGCATAACGTGGTTGAACAACTGCAAGATAGCTGTTAAGTTTACAGACATAAAGGCTATTTATTTCCTTGCCCCAATCCACACTAAAGCCGCTTCAGCAGTTTTGGCTCGATGTCAGGCTACTTGTACAGATAAGCCCCAATGTGGTTTTAATTATAATAAGGATATGGCAATTTCAAAAGCGTGGCTTGGAGTAATCAGTCACTGTAGCATTGTCATGTTGTTTTGGGAATAATTTTATGGTAGAAAAATTGATAGATATAATATTGAATTTATTTATTATTCATGGGAAGATCTAATGTCAAACATCTGGGAATATTTCCTTTGTACTGGGGAAATTATAAAATGTCATCTGTGACAAAATTAGTGATGTGTATTTTTAAAAAATTCTTATACATAAAAATATATGCTTTATGCTTTCCTGTTTAGTTAGGCTCTCTATCATTCCATCAAGGAGAGTTTAAAATACTTCAATGAAATTCTGTCAAATAAACCTCCATGTTCATATAAAAAGACCAACTAGTATGTGCAACTGTTCTCTTAGAAATAAAAAAAAAGTAACTTTTTTTTTCTCCTAATATCAAGTCCATAAAAGCTTTGTTAGGATATTTTTGAACAGACCTATGATGTTTCTGGTTCTGGCACTGAAGTACTTACAATTTAGATGCCCGATTGAAAAACAAAAAAGAAGAAGTGTTCAAAACATTCATTGGCTATGCATGCATTGAGTGCAACATTCAATTGAGTGCAACATTGAGTGCAAACTTACAATTTAGATGCCCGATTGAAAAAAAAAAAGAAGTGTTCAAAACATTCATTGGCTATGCATGCAGTGTTTATGTCCAATGAGTCACGGGATAACGAGAGGGATTAGAAATGGTTCCTGCTACTCTCAAGGATCTCATACTGCAGTGGGGGGAGAAGATAAACCCGTACTGATGTTAAAAAGGTATTTAGAATAATTGGGATTCAGAAGTGTGAGATGTCATTAGTTTTGAGGGCCTGAAAAGTGCCTCAAGTAGGAGGCACTGAGGTGAGGTTTGAAGGAATAGGCTTGGACAAGCAGAGTTCTGGGAAGGGTGAGAAGGAAGGGAGAATTTTATTGAAACAGAAGAAAACATAAATAAAAGCAAAGGCACGCAGGCAGGTATGACCCTGGGAATTAGCAGTATTGATGCAGTCAATGAGAGTGCAGAGTTCACATGAGGAGGTAACTGGCCACAAGGATAAGAAAGTGGACGGGGCTCACATTAAGGAGAGGTTGGTTGTGTGCTCTGAATGACAGTGTTAAGGTGCCTGTAATTTTGCCTGTGGTTGCAGCCATATCCCTTTGATCGCAGACCACTGCTGGGTGAAAAGCGCATTGGCAGTGGCATGATTTCAGGGAATTGGAGGAGCATTAGCCACAGAGAACCTCAGGAGAGTCTGTTCAGCACCATCCTCCACCCCCTCCCCCTCCTTTTTTTCCTTGCAGAAAGATCCCCCAACTGTGGAGTCTGCATAAATCCTGTGTGGTGGGCCTGTAGGACAGGCTGCAGCAGAACTCTTTTTTCAGAGTCAATAGTGAGAGAATGAAGAAATGGTGGCATTTATTTAGAAGCCGGAGTTTTGTGTGTTAGTACACAGAGAATGGATCATGGGTTCTTTCAATTCCCCCAGGACATGTAAGTGCTCCCTGGCACTTAGAATTAAAATCATTTAAGCTGTAAAAACTGAACAAGTTAAAAGAGAAATATTCCTCTCCTCAGTGGTGTATACTATAAAATAGAATTATTCAAGGCTACTAATTATTTGAGAAAAAATTAGTGTAATTTGATTTCAATTTGCATCTGTTCTCTGCATGGATAAAGCAGGTATAAAGGCACACTAAAATTTGGCTGATAAAGTTATAACGTCAGGTTATTCTGAACTTTGAAAATATAAATATTATCTCAGTTCTCGCTCTGTATGAATAATTATAATGAGAATTAACAGAATTTATTTATCATACTTAGTGGAAAACATTTTGAAAATTATTTTTCTTTTTTAGACCAAGTTTGTTAAGAATCTGCAGCATGGGTTCAAAAAGTTAAGGAGGCTATAAGTCTAACAGCAATTTAAAGTTTTTAATTCAAATTCAACCTATTACTATTTATATTAAAAATATGACAGATTTAAGTCTTAAAAGATTGCTTCCTTTAGGACTTCCAACATAATTTTAAAGTAGCTTTTGCGACTATAGTTTACACAACAGAAGGAAGTGGGTTTTTCTTACCTTAAGGTATCATATAATGTTAAAAGTGAATTACAATTTTATTGAGCCAGAAGTCAAAGTTTTAGAAGATACACACACATGCACATGCACATGCACACCACCCCACACACATTTTATTTTTAATTTGAGA